GAATTCATAATTTGATACACGGTCATCATGTGCAGAAAAAGGTATATTATTTTAAGTTCCAGCTTTAATAAAAGAAAAGAAAACCAGGCACTCACCCAGCGGCTGTCCTGCGATTATCCTGGCGTTTTCTCCAGCTACGGCGGCCCGTGCGTTCCTTTCGCTAATGTACTGGACGAAAGCGTAACCCTTGTGCACCGAACAGCCCACGATCTTGCCGTACTTGGCGAAGATGACCTCGATGTCGCTCTTCTTCACGATGGCGGTGTTGAGGTTGCCGATAAAGACCCGAGAGTTGAGGGAGCGCGGGTCGTTCTTGTTAGTGACATTGCTGGTCTGAGTCTTGCCGGTCATTATTCTCCTGCGAAGCACAGACATGATGGGGACGACATCAAACACACCTGATACAGATAATGCTTTTATATGTGGATATTTTAATCCAAGATGCAAACTGGATATGCTAAAGCAGGGGTCACCAACCTTAATGATACTGAGAGCTACTTATTGGGTCTTATTATGAATGTGGAGGGCTACCAGTTCGATAAACACTTCTCAAATAACACATTTGCTCAATTTACTTTTAATTATACTTTATGTATTTGATAATAATTAATGATATTCATCCATGTGAAGACACTGATCATGTTAATAATTCTCACAAAAGTTATCAGCAATGATTTAACAGGGTAGGAAATACCCTGTATTTAATGTTGGTGACCCCTGTGCTAAAGGGTCAAGGTGTCTGCATCAAAATACATGTGTAAAAAGGGAATATGTGAGGTAGGAAAGCTAGGATCTACTTTATTGTTTCTTAAATGTAGATTTTGTGAAAATAAGATGTCAAAATATGTGTAAAATTAGGCATTATTGATATATTTATTTTAACAACAGTTATGTCTGTTTCTCAAATCTGATTGGCTGATAGCAGTGTGATATTCTGCAATAACAGCACTTATACAGCCACCTCATCCTTCTGTATTACTCCGCCCACAGTGAGTGACAGCAGATCAATGAATTCACTACAGCTTGACAAATATTACAGCTGTTGGACAACATAATGTACTTTTAATGATTTTTATGTGAGAATGTAGTTGTATAAATTGCAACTATGCAGTTTATTTATAAGGATAGTGCCTATTTTAAATAGTTATCATTTCTGAGATTTATATCGTCTGCATCCATCAGCCTATCATACTGAGCAGAGCAAAGTTGGTTGATGTTTTGCTACAAGATGGGGACAGAGACTGTATAATAAGCCCTTAGAGCAGGTTCCCAACAGGGGGGTCGCGGCCCTCAAGGGGGCCTCAGCGAGCTTTGTGGGGGGTTGTGTCATATTTAAAAAAAAAAAAAATCTTAGCAGTGGACAATTAGGAGAATGATCATGTTGTCTTAGTTCATTTTATGCTATAGCTCAGTGGTCCTCAACCACCGGTCCGAGAATCAGTTGGTAGCGGGCCGCACAAGAAATCATTAATTATTTCTGTTTTGTTTATTATCTGAGTCTGAACAATCTTTTATTTAAAAGAAAAGTCTTTTACTTTGAAAAATTACCGTATTCTCTCCCAAATTTAACCCACAAGCAGCAAAATGAGTAATGTCGAGTTCAGACTGCATGATTTTCAAAGTAGTCGTGTCACATATGTTTTCACACTGCATGATATCTGGGCTCGTGTTTCGTCGCTGCTTTGTTTACACTGCAAGATGGATCAGCGATAGGGGTTTTCACATTCCATGACTTTACAATAGGAAGAACCGCCGACAACTTCGTCTAAACAACGTCTGACAGCCAAAAAGACATAGTATATCTTTTGTTATTAACTACATAACGAGAAAGAAGCCTTTAATGGGGTAGAAAATGTACATATTGGCTCACCTGGGTTTGAAGGGAATTAGCCATTTCTCCTCAACTTAAGTTGACAATAAATTAATTTCATATAATTAATTTAAATAAATAAATTAACTTTTTTTAACTTTCTGTCAGTCTGAACTAGGCATAAGAAACAGACTTCTTTAGAAAGTTTCTTTGCTAAGAGAAAAGGGCCCGCAAACAGCCAAGGAATAGATCTGCAACCCACTTGTCAACAATCAGGCGAATCCACCATGTCTGTGCAAGAAGATCATCTGATGGAGATCACAAATGATGGCAGCCTTTTATGGGGTGTTCGTATATCGTGTATTTCTGGAGTCTGCACAAGTTTGTTGTTTCCAATGGAGGTGCGCAGCTGATGTGCACGCAACAATAAACCCCAAGACACAAGCGCACCGCGAGTCACATGACAAGAATTGTCTTTTGTACTAACATACATAAATAAAACTTGTATCAGAGAGTGACAGCAATGTTTTGTCAGTTTGTCATCCTCTGAGAAAATGGTTGATGGTCGCAACCTGCAAAACACCCCTAACCCTCGTGGTGATAAACAGGTTGAGGACCACTGCCCTAGCTGACCAAAACAACAAATTTGTAACGTTAATCCGTCTTCCATAAAAAAGACAGAGTCTCACTGATTCGCCTCGCAGCAATCCTCACACTAATTGATAGAGCTTAACAAATAACATGCAAACATTAAATTGTAATAGCCTATATTATTTTCCCTTACACACCAGTGTGAATACTGCTACTGTATTTTTGTTAATGAATTTCAAATAGGGTCAATTTGTAGGCCAAAGGCTTACATTTTTCAGTTACAAATGATTCATTCATTCATTTTCTTTTCAGCTTAGTTCCTTTATTAATCTGGGGTCGCCATAGCGGAATGAACCGCCAACTTATCCAGCATACGTTTTACACTGCGGATGCCCTTCCAACTGTAACCCATCTCTGGGAAAAGCTAGGCGATTATTTGTGCATAAACATATGTAGATATAGTAATAATCATACCGTTTGTTTGAAAACAATATTTTTTGTCATCATTACTGCAAACTTATATGAGCGATTATGTCATTAAATGTGGAGGGGGGCTTTACTATATTTTCCGGAGAAAAAGGGGGTCTCAGGCAAAAAAAAAAAAAGGTTGGGATCCACTGCCTTAGAGGACAAAAAATAAGCATAATTTAAAACTACAACTGATTAAATCATTACAAAACAGGTAAGTGACTTTCTGGTAGTGTTTCTGGTAGTGCTTGCTTTGCTTTGGCTTGTTTCAGGGTTAAATAGGGACATCACGACTGCAACAAAGAAACACAGGGAAAGCTCTATAAACTGATGGCATTTCATGCTGTTCAGCTTCATAATCTTAAAATATGAGAAAAATCTGCTGTTTTGTCATCACTTTAGGTATTAAGCTAGATAATCATTCAAACACTAGCTCTAAAGTGGCGTTTGTGAAGCAGCAACAGTTTCAGCTGTTCAGACGTCAGTTGCAGATGTGAATGAATGGTGGAAGAAAGTAGTTCCTCATACAAAAGGGTTTTTAGACTCTCAGTGTTTGATTTTCTTTTTTATATGCACGATTATGCCGTCGAACTGTTGTATAAATGCAATATCACCCAAGTAGCAGTGCAATGTAGCTGTATTGTGGTGGGACACAATGCACACCTCCCACCTGTGACAATATACAGCCAGATCGCACTGCTCCTCGTGTGATATTGCTCATGTAAAGATGAAACCAAATACTTATTCTGACCTGTACTTCAAATATAAAACAGAATGAATGATTACACACTGTCACCCACAAACACACATGTACACACACAAATAAAAATCTTGCTGCCTTTTTTGTTGTTTATTCAAGTAAACTTTTCTAGTCATCTCAAACTGCGTCAGTTAAAAATACTTTAACTTATTTATATTTATATTTATACTTATATAAATTTACTGATATAAAGTATATAAAATTTACTTGTAAAAAATACTTATATAAATTTATATTTATACTTATACTTATTTATATTTAACTTTATATATACAATATTTAACAAAAAAGAAAGTAAACCCGATTAACTGATTAAATTAGGTAACAAAAATATTTGTTGTCATTCGTTTTTATCTTATCATTTTTTACTTTTATCAAAATCCAAGAGGTTGCCAACTTCCTGCTGGCAAGTGTTAAAAATCTAGGCTTTAAAAGAAAGCGGTATAGTATAAATGAGAATTAATTACTGCATGAATTTCACTATTGTAAAATATTATTCCAACATGATGAGTTCTACAAAAGCAAATAGTGTAAAACAGGCAAGTTTATCAGTCATTTTTAAAAGGCAGTTTCCCTATAGAGAACATAAATGGAGTTTTTACTCCCAGTTACGCTCTATTTAAACTCTCCACCAAAACCGGAGCAAACTTTCTGGAGCAAAAATGCTCACAGTATGTACATCGACCCTGACTCAACCTTCACATCTTATAAAGATTTTGGGATAAGATACTGTACTGTTTTCTTATCATGATGAAAGAACAGCAATTGCAGAGATAACCAAAATTAAATTGCCGTCTTATGATATATATACCTTGATTCTTAAAAAAGATTGCACTGTCTTAACATCCAGGCCAAGTGCTCTGCCTAATGTTGGCATGATTGGCTAAAAATCTTCTTGATCAATATACTAAACAAACACTCTACTTTTTAGGAAATAGGCTTATTTTACAACCGCCAACCTGATACCACCAATGTTCCTGGATTAACATTTATGTTGATCCTGGAACAACATTATCAGTCAATTAGAATTAAGTATTATGTTTACTGTTTATGTTGAGTTTAGGCTTGCAGCTTATACATGAGTGTTGTTCAACTATTATTCTCCTCTGATTTTTGGAAATAATGTACGGTTATGGTTAGGTTTAGAGGTAGGGAATAGGTATGGAGTACATTTTCGAACATAAATGATGTTCCAGGATCAACATATATAGGTGTTAATCCAAGATCGCATCATACTTGGCAAAATCATGGCGTGCTTTTACACCTCCCCTAGAGTTTAACAGTTTTACCATGCCAATCTCCAGGTCTAATGGGAACACTCCTAACTAAGCTCAGCTTAAATCATTGAATCAATTTAGACTATTAGCAGCTCACAATGATATTGCACAGCACCTTAAAATAGTTCCCTAGCTAGATAAGAAGGTAACATGGTCGCATAATATCATTGCGCCAGCTGCAGCCACGGCACAGCCAAATTCCTTTATATTTATGCTGTAATAAAAGTACAGTTCCTACCCATATCAACCAAGAGAATAGCAACTTTTCATTGTCCGTCAGTCTTAGTACACAAACTACAGAAGACTATTATCAAAACTCTTTTTAGAGCGAGATCCCAATGGACTAATTTTTAAACACTTGTAAAAACTGCTAAATTTAGCTGATAATAGTCCCTCATTAAAAACCACTACAAAAAATGCCACATCATACTGTATTTTAAATTTTGATAACA